CTTTAGTACCAATGATAAAATAATTAGACAAATCTAAAATTGAAAGGTCTACCAATTATCAGTAACTATGATTCAGAAATAAGTTCATTTTTCATTATTTTCAGGCCTCCAATATCAATTCTAATACTAGAATTTTGGGGCTTTTCTGCTTGAAATTAATTGTTTCACATACTTATTGGATAAAGGAGCTGAACCCTAAAATTAAATGCTTTAGTCAAGATGAGTAGAGACATTATGACTACTACCTATATCCTGCAAGAGTCTTCCCACTGTACCCATTGAAATGAATGAAAACAAAGTAGACAAAAAACGAAACTGGGCCATAGTAACAGAAATATCAACCATCACCAAAGTATAGCAATCACTCTGTTTATTTGAGGGAACTAAATGTAATTTAAGATCAGCAACAGTTTGAATCCCAAATGTTCTTTAAAGAACTACAAATTCCTCTAAAACTTGTTTCCTAGTGACATCTGCTGGTACAAAATTGTAATAAAGATGAAAAGTAGTTCTTAGAAATAATTCCATGGAAATTAACCATGAAAGAAAACTTTTATGGGCAGAACTGTTTTCTTTTGCTTTAATGCAAACTTCTAATTGTTAATGCAGTTTGTCTTTGTGGGTTTTCCCTCCTTTGGCATTTGACCAAGAGTAATAGTGTGAAAATTTATTAAATAAGTATTATACTTATAAAATAGTAATATACCAGTTATAACTTAACATCAAGCTTATTTGTGTTTTTCTATATAATTTCTTTCATTTACCTTCCTGAACCTGAGTGATTAGTTGTGTATCAACTAAAATTATTTAATGCAATGCTTCAACAGTTTTTGTCCTGCTGTTGTTTTATACCACACTTTTAACATCAGACTGCAAAACACTGCCATCAAGTCAGTTTTTGACTCCGAATGACCCTACTGCTCCTGTGGGTTTCTGAGACTGTACCTCTTTATGAGAATAGCATGCCTCATCTTCCAGAATCCTGCAAATATAAAATTCAATAAATATGAATTGAATAATATTACTGTATGCCCTTTGCATAGACTAAAGTTAAGAAATAGGAAAGCTTCCATAGAGATGAGGTAAATTTGTTATCTTTATACAAAATTGAAAATAAAAATGAGGGTTTTTTTTATTAGAGGAAGATTTTTATTAGAAGAAGAAATAGTTTTATTTTTTCCATAAGAGATGTACTGCATTGCAAGAGAGTTTCTAAAAGTTTGTGGAAGAGTGGAGTTGAAAGTTAATGGGAGTTCCATAGTGATTACAAGTTGGGTTGCTAACCAACAAGCCAGCAGTTCGAAATTACCCACCCAGTGTGCCGGACAAAATCATGTTTGTATTCCTGTAAACAGTTACAGTCTCGGAGAGCCACAAGGGCAGTGCTACCCTGTGTCCTACAGGGTTGCTGTAAGTCAGAATTGACAAGACAGCAGTGAGGTGAAGTTCACACAAATTTTTAGAGTGAGAAAATATACTCAGTCCTGAGATGTTTGATCTGTTTAAGCTTGTTCTTAGATGATTTTTGTCAGGTCCTGTGGGTTTAAAAATACAACACATGTATATATTAGGTTTCTTCTTTGAACCCCACACCTGTATAGCCAGACTTACTTTACCTTTTCTTTTTTGATATTTCCATTTAATTTCCTAACAAGCATTTTCAACCTTAATATGTCAAAAACCAAACTTAAGATTTTCTTCTTGAACTTGCTCCTCCCCATAGTCTTTCACTCACTTGAGGAAAAGCCAATCCAACCCTCCGGTTGGCCAAACAAAAAATAACCGAAAAAATTGGAAAATCAACTCTCCCGCCAACCCAAAATTGAATCAACAAAAAAATCCGCCAACCTTCCCTTGGAAAAAAAACAAAAACCGACCATTTGTGCTTTAGTCAAGCAAGCGTCCACACATCTTTCCTCTCCTAATTAGTCTTCTTGCATCTAGCCTGGCCCTCCTGTAGTCTGCTCTCTACCTGGCCCCAAGAGTGACTCATTTGAAATGCTAGACAAATCTTGTCACTTCTTTGTTGAGAGCCTTCCAAAGTCTGCAGACAGGGTCCTGAGTTGTTAGACCATTTCCTTTCTCCATTCCCATTACTATGACTTCATTTCCTATCGCTACTTCCCTCTTCTGTTCAGCTCCGGAGAACTCTCCTTGCATGCCACACAAACTCCTCATGAGGGATTTTGTACTTGTTAATTTCTTCTAACTGAAATACCGTCCCTACTTCATTGAGATTTCTGCTCATTAGAGCCAGATGTTAGTTACTGTCTCACAGACACTCCTCGTGACCACACTATTTATGGTAATAATCCTAAGTCTATCACTTTCTCCCCTTATCCTGCTTGGTTTGGGATTGTTTTGGTTTTTTGGGGGGATCATAGCAGTTAGCATCACAGAACTTCCTTGTCCTCTCTCTTCCAACTAGAATAGCTGCTATATGTATGTAGGTCTTCTATGTTGCTCATTGTTGCATCCTCAGAACTTAGACCATGCCTTACACATAGCTGACACTCAGTTAATATTTGTTGAATTAGTCAGTGGGCCTTAGTATAGACGGTGATTTTGCTTATTATTATGATAACTGGATTCATAACACAGTTAGGCATCTTCTAAAGGGGTCTGATTTGTTTAAATGTTAACATTTATATTATGTGTTCTGCATTGAAAACAAATTATAATAATGATTCCACGGTTAGGTTAAGGCTTAGTACTCGGTGTAAAATGCAGGACCAGATTACTATTTTAAAGATATTTTATGGGAATAATTACATTTTGCTCTTTGGATATAGACATCTGACTCTTAAGTACATCAACACACCTTAGACACATGAATGGCAAGAAGAGTAGCCTCTTTTGAATCTGTGCTAAGACTTTATCAATATGAAGTGCTTCTCACAGGGTTCTACCACAGAACTAAACTTCCATCATCAAGAAATTGCAAATCCATTTGTCTATGCCTCTTGTATATCTGAAAGCTACTTTTTGATGTTTGTTCTGCAATTACATTTATTGTTTAAGGTTGAATATATGCAATTCTGACTAGACCAACTTGTCAGACCCTTTGTCCAGCACTGAACCAAAGATAAATGGCCATCTCTCAACAGTAACATACCAAAGCCAAAAGTTGTTCCCAGACACACAGTCTTTGAATTAATCTTGTGCTTTCTGTTTTCTTACCACCTTTCCTATCCAGAAATTACCAAATTGCAGGCTTTAAGTTACTGATACATTCTGCAAATGGTAAATGTTTAAATATTTTTAATGCTATTATTTCACCATGCATATCATGCATATTCTTTGCTTAAAATGTATTTTTTTTACATATGCTCTCATTCTGTGTGGGAAAATTATATAGTATGTGAAAATCTGTGCTTACGTTTGTCACTGCTAACATGACCACAAAATCAATCATGTTGTGTAATTGAAAGGATTTTGTAAATCTTTTAAACATCTTTGACACATGAACTACATTTTTTTTTTAATCGTTTTGTTAGGGGAACTACATTCTTTTTCTGGGATTCCACACTGCCTCTGATAAAATGTATGTGTTTTAAGTTGGTAAGGGTTTTTCTACTTTTTGCATTTCCCTTTGTATATGCTTTTCATACAGAAAGAGTTATCTTAGTTATAATAGAGACTGCGCTTTCTTTAAGAATATACAGTGTCTAATATTAATATACTTTAGGACATCATTGTATATCTGTATTTACAGATTTCTTCAAGGTATTTAATAGTAAATATCAAAGGTTCATTTCATAAGATAATCTTGCCCACAAAATAGTCAAAGACATGCTATAGCATCAGGATAATGCAAGACTCGTATTTAATCCCTTTTTAAAAGATCATTAAATAATTTTAGCAGAGCTGAGGATCCTTTTTCTTTAATTATTATGTAATTTAAGTAAAGGGACCGTACTGTTTCAGGAGGTTGTGTAAGAAAACCATGTGTGTGAGGGGGATGTGTGTGTGGGGATGTGGGTGTGCGCTGGGAGTGGGGGTTCTGACTCCTATTTATCATGTGATCTCTGGAAATTTACTACATTATTTGAGGCTCTGAACAACTCGAGTTGAGAAACACCACAATAGCTGCTACAGAATCCAAAAACAGTACACCTATTCATCGAGTTGTAATATAATTAAATGAGACAACGTGTGTGAAATGCCCTGAACAGGGCCCAGTAATAGTAAGCACTCAATAAATAGTATTTGGAATTCTCACTCACTGGTCTTGTGCCTCCCCAACCCCCAACTATGCATGAATAATGTTTAGAACAGTGCCTGGATTATGGTGTCTGTTCTGATTGGGTTTAATCAGAAATTAAAACTGATGAACTAGACTTGAAGCCTTTCTGTGCCTGCCAACTCTACATTGCTCTGCATTCCCCGAATTAATAAGTAGCGAGAAGTCAGGACCTTGAATTGACCTATATATAATACCCAGCAGGTGTATGTGGCCTTTCTCTTCACAGCAAATTGCTCCCCTGGGGATTGGAGAGAATGAAGAATGCTCCGCTCCCAGCCCTCATTTTAAACCCCAGGGGAACTCTTAGAAGATTTACTTAACTCTCTCTTCAAGGGACAGATCTTAGCGTTGAGTCCTAAGTCATGTTAATTTGACATGGGGTGGGGATGCATTATCATTTTAATCATTTTGTACAAGATAACTTGCTTTACTGCTTATTGCTTGTTTGACCACTTGTAGTACTCAGACTATTACCCTAAAAGAGTTTACACCTTAAAAAAAAGAAAAAGCTTGGGAAAGTTTTTTTTTTTCTTCTTCTTCTTTTTTTAAATCATTTTATTAGGGGCTCATAGGACTCTTATCACAATCCATACATACATCAATTGTGTAAAGCACATTCGTACATTCATTGCCCTCGTCATTCTCAAAACATTTGCTCTCCACTTAAGCTTGGGAAAGTTTTAACGACAATTTTGTATACTACTTTATATTCCAAAATATATTGCTTTATGATTGTAAATTTTTATTGCTTCAGGTGTAAAGATGGTTTGAAAGGATTTACATTCTCTGCACTTAGGTAAGTAACATATTTAATTTACCGTTATGTTGATTACAAGTTCTTTTTAAAAAGTAGTATCCATAAATAACTATATCATTTATAATATTAATTGACTCAATTTTTAAGCTGAAAGTTGTTTTAGAAGTCATGAAAGCATTTCCAAACATTGGTAGATAGTTCATTAAAAGTACTTTATCAGACTTTTCTTTCTTAAAAGTGAAAAACAAGAGTTTATTAATGCCTATTAACTGCCTCATACTGTGGGGTGTTAGAAAAAAAAGCACAAACATTTTCTTCAAAGCTGCACATGAATAACAACATTAAGAATAAAATATATATCTTTAAACTCACTGCCACTGAGTCAGCTCATAGTACCTGTCTAGGACAGAATAGAATTGCTCCTGAGACTGTAAGTCTGTACAGAAGCAGACAGGTTCATCTTTCTCTCATAGGGAAGCTCGCTGGTGGGCTAAAACCACTGACCTCATGGTTAGCAGCGCAATGCTTAGTTTACCAAACTCCCTCCCCCCCCAAATAATGGTTCATGTTGCCCAGATTATGGACATCTTTAGGGCAGGATTCATATTGTGATGCATGTATTAGATAATAGCCTTCATTAGCATTTTTCTTCTCACCTTATAGTTTGACTCTTAACACATAGTAGATACTATAGAAATAATGATACACATTAGTATTATAATTATGTCTCACCAAGTCTATTCATATAGATGAGATCATCCCATTTTTACAATTCTGTGAGACAGCTATGTTAATGCCTATGTGAGCGGATGAAGCCAAGTCTTAGAATGATTGACTACTTAAACATCATACAAGTGACTATACAAGAGGCCTTCAAAAAGCTCATGAATGGATGACTTGAAAAGATAAAGGAAATTTTCCTCAAACTTTCAAGCCCCTTATATATCCTGACTCCAAAGCCAGTGTTCTTTCAGTTTATGTCAAATATTGTTCATCCATGCCACAGCTCCCCCAAGTACAAGCAGTACTTTCTTAGTTGAAGAATAGTATTTACTGGAAATACTTCCTGTCAAGTCTATTTTGACTCACAGCAACCTGATAGGGTAGAATAGAACTCCCCCATATACTTTCCATAACTGAATCTTTAGAGAAACAGACTACTACATCTTTCTTCTGCAGAGCAACTGGTGGGTTTGAACCACTGATGTTTTGGTTAGCAGTTTAGCCACATGACGTCAGGCTATAGCAGGGAAGAATTAGAGTGGACTCAATACTAAGAGAAATTGTATGTGATTATCTCAGGGTATTTTGAAGATCGAGTTAGTGAATGAAACGTGCTTATAATTGCCAGCGCTGTAGGAACTCAAGAAATGTTGAATATTCTTTTTTTTAATACACTTTCGTTGATGTATGTTTCACATATCATACAATTTAAGCATTATTCATATTAAGAAGATTTGCAATTACCACCATGATCAATTTTAGAACATTTCTTCTTATACTCATTTCCCTCCATTCCCCTTACCATGTCCCTAGGCAATTATCAATCCAGTTACTGTCTCTATAGACCTTCCTATCCTGGACTTCATATACAGAAAAATCAAACTACCGACAGGAAGCAAACAAACAAAAGCAACAATAATGACTAGACAAAACATAGCAAAGCTAAAAAGAAAGCACAAAACATTAAAAACTGAAGCAACTTTAAGATGGGTCAAAAGGGAGATCAAATGTTAAGGGTAATACATTTTACCCTACCTACATCTTCCAGAATCTACTTTTTAGTGCTCTTTGTTTGATAGCAAGGCTAGTCACATTCCCCGACTACGCTCCAAGGGAATTTCCTGGAGGCTTAATCCATTTGGGTACTCTGGACATGGATTCGCGCCTTCCCCTGTTACAGAGCCTTCAGCAGACTGGGTGTTCACAATTCAAGTTCTGATGCCTTTCGCTCTTTTTGGATTTGGATTTTATTTTTTATAGTCCTTGAATTACACAGACTTGTGTGCTTCTTCCATGTGGATTTAGTTGACACCTCAGTTAGATGGCTGTTTGTTTGAAGAGAAGCCTTGAAGGCCCCAGATGCTATTCTTTTTGATAGCTAGCTGGTTTCATCTGGTATCTTCACCATATTTTGCTGTAGCACCCATATCTCCAGTGATCTCTTAATGAGGATGAGCATCGAGCCAGGGTGATGTAATAAAAACTAATTGTCCTTAGGTTAGGGCTAAAATTAAGTACAAACCCCAAATCTCTTCATAGATCTGTGGTTATGCGTCTCTCTGGTTCATTTTAGAGGCATTACCACAATTTTATGATAGAGAACATTATAAACCATCCAAATTTTATTGATAGTGTCATTAATTTACCCAATGGTATAGAGATTAAAACACCGTTGAGAAAAGGAAGTTATACAGGTGTAGGCCAGCTTCAGAATGAAACACATGAATTCTTTCCTTGGAAAGATTCAACTCTTAGTGACTGGACACTTGACACAAATATTGGGGCTTGATGATAGGGCACAGCTTTCAATAACACTCATTTACAAAGGCAGAGCCACGCCCACCAAATTAATAAATATAAAGAAACAAACAGGGAGGGAATTAAAGTATGTGGTTGTCTGGCTTTGTCCTTAAAGCAAGAGAGCTGAACTAAAGTCCAAGACTACCAATTTACATAACCTTGAGATAGCAGTCAGATGCTTCTTCTCACACTGGGTGTTTCAGCCCTGAAGCTCCCCAGTTGACATACTCCCTTGGACTTACCCACTTCTCTACCGATGGGCATTTGGGCTGTTTCCAGTTTTTGTTATTGTGAACTGTGCTTCAGTGAACACGGGAAAGCTTAACTCTGTTTATGTTCTAGCTCTTGTTTCTTTGGGGTATATGCCCAGCAAAGGAATTGTTGGGTTGTATCGTATTTCTATTCCCAGTCCGTTTTAGGTATTGCTGTATTGTTTTCCACAATGGTTATATATTGGTGGTAAGCCTTAAATTGCACGTAAAAAATAGATTTAGATAAGTACAAGAGAACAGATAAACTATGTTGCATAAAAATGATATTAGCAAAAACTTGTAAGTTTTTGATATCGAGTGCAAGTTAAGACTGAAGAAATAATAGTATGATAATTTTATATTGGAAATTCAAATATATTTTATTTGAATAGGTAGAGTAGGACTCAAAAAAAAAAATCACCCAAATTCACTGCCATCAGGTTGATGTGCCAATATACAGAGACCCTGTAGGACAGGGTAGAACTGCCCCTGTGAGTTTCCAAGACTGTAACTGTTTATGGGAATAGAAGCCCTGTCTTTCTCCCTGGGATCATTTGCCAGTTTCAAACTGCTGACCTTGTGGATAGCAGCCCAACTCGTAACCACTATGCCACCAGGGCTTCTAGAGTAGGACTAGCTTATAGAAAAATTTTAAAAATGAAGAAAACTTGGATTTGATAAAGTGATGAGTAGGTAGTAGCCAACTGATTCTTTATCAGGGTAATTGATACTGTCTCAGAAAGAACTGTCTCTCCTTAGTATTTGAGACATTGAAAAAGAGAAAACCTGAAAGTAGAAAGTAAAAATGCATTGGAACGCCTTTGGTAATAATAACTTTCTCAATCAAAATATATAGCAATAATATCTTCTCTCTTTTTTATTAATCATTTTATTGGGAGCTCTTACAGATATCAGTTACATTCCATCGTTCAATCACATCAAACAGCATTGTCCAATTGCTACCACAATCAGTTTCAAAACATTTTCTTTCTTCTTGAACTCCTTGATATCTGCTCCATTTTAGCCCTTCCCTCCCCCACCATACCCACTAGGAACCCTTATCTATCTATCTATCTATCTATCTACCTATCTATCATCTATCTAGTGTGCCATATCTTACACGTCTAATATACCCATTCATATACTATTCTGTTATTTGATCCCATGGAGTGTGGTTATACAGTCATCAATGCTATCAGCTCCCTGCACACCTCTCCCCTCCCCCTGCTCCCATTCCCCCAGGGAACCCTTACTCCTATTACTGTTTCTGAAGAGTTGTCTATCATGATATTCATGTATCAAATGATCCTAAATATACAGATGAACCTACACAAAACTGACATGACTAATGAAGTAAAACAAAAACCATAATAGTTAGGGAGGAGATATTTAAAAACTAGAGGAAAGTTATGTGGCTCATCATAAATCTGCCCTGGATTTATCATCCTTTCCAAGTAGCCCTTCTGAGTGGGACTGTCCAATTGTCTTACAGGTGGGTTTTGGGTCTCCACTATACCCACGCCCCTTCACCCGATTTGGTTGCTTGTTTTTGAACTTCTGATACCTTTTCCTTTCGACACTTCATAATCACACAGGTTGATGTGCTTCTTCCATGTGGGCTTTGTTGCTTCCCTGCTAGATGGCCGCTTTTTAAACTACAAGCCTTTAAGACCCCAGATGCCATATCTTTTAATAGCTGGGCACCATCAGCTTTCTTCACCACATTTCCTTATCTACCCATTTTGTCTTCAGTGATTGTGTTAGGAAGGTGAATATCATACAATGCTCCATTATTAAAACAAACCATTCCTGTACTAAGGTAAGACTTAAGTAAAGGCCCAAAGTTCATCTGCATATATATACATATATAGCTAAATACACATATTTATATATTTACATGTATACACCCACATATATATACACACACATATATTTTTTGTTCTTCCCTCCTGCACTGTTATGATTTTTACTCATTGTTTACCTCTCAGTAATTTCTCTCAGATAAAATTCGATTGATGAAACACGACCAGAAAAGCTACACCCTCCTCACTATCAATTTTACTCTTCCCCTGTACCCATCGTTATTGGCTCACCACTCCCCTCCCCCCACCTTCTCCCCTTCCATGCCCCCAAGGAACCATTGTTCTAGTCACTGTCTCCATATGATTGCCTATTCTGCCTATTTTGTATAGATAAGCACCCCTACCTCCCCAAATTAAAACAAAACAAAACAAAACATACAGGTAGTCACAAGTCTGACAGGGA